ACAGCTTGCGGCTGTCTTCCTGAGTAAAACCTTCGAATTTCAGACTAATCATTCCTCTACGTTTGTGTCGTAAACCTGGGATATCTCGCAGTATTTACGTAGCTCCCTTCAACTTTGTATGTCTGTACTTAAATCACAGGTAGTGAGTGAGTGAGCTTGGCTGTACGAAGCACTCAGCTATATTTCAGCTTTATGGCGGCGGTCTGTATATAATCGAGTGTGGACCAGATAATCCAGTGATCAACAGCATGAAGGCATCGATCTACGCAATGGGATACGATGACGTGCGCGTCAAACAAAGAATCAGCGGCAGGATGACCACCCGATCACGTTAGTCGCCTTTTACGACAAGCATAGGTTACTGAAGATCACTTCTAACCCGGATCTTCACGGGTAAATCACAGGTAGACTAAACTGAGCACACATACAAGAGAATAGTGAAATGAATAGAACAGACACCTACCACTGACAGTCAGCGCAGCTAGAAACATCAAATGAACCTCCAGCCTCTTGTCCATGATGCCACTAAGAAGCATCAGATCATCAAGTTGTATAAGTGCATCAAAATATCCTGACTTGTCCCTTCTAGAATCACCGACTATCTCCGAACAACTGTTCGTCAAGCACTGACCTGCATTCAGTGTCTATTTAAGTTTTCAACTTCCTGGTCGACACCATGTAGTGTATATAATAGGAAGTCATGTGACATGCAGAGAAAGGTTACACCTGGCGCTTTGACATTATACAGCTTTGTCCAACTTCATGTGCTAAAAACGTGCACAGTACACATGACACGCTGATATTTCTTCAACATCTATAGGCGAATCTGTGATAATCTAGTTATTTTACTGACCTTTGTTGACAGGTTTTATAGTTTACCATTACTTACTATGCATAAATTTATTTGTTCTCGTCACTATATGGCTGGAAATATTGCCAATGTGACGTTAAATTATAATTTGCAGGTAGCAAAAGTAATGTAGTGAGGGGTGAGAGTTATTATCACATCGGCAATATTGCAGCCATATTGTGACGAGAACATATTTGATTGAAGTGGGAATATATGTGTATTATAAAACCTGTCGACGAAAATCACAATTTATCTAGCAATTCTATTTCTTTAAAACATTCAATGATTAAATGATAATTAACACTAAAAAATATCCTTTACTGTTTTGACATTAAAATATTTATCTTTTGTCATGGCAAAATCAATGTCTTGCTTGACTGTGATTCTTTCATCACAAGGGATACAAAACGGAGGATCCTCACCTTTTAACATGTATTCATGAGTATACCTTGTATGGCCAATGCGACATCGTCGCATGATGACCTCTTCAAATCTGGACTGACAACCCAAGTAGGTGTAACCAATATAGGGTTTTATTTCATGTAATTTATTAATACCTACTTGGATGTACCACTTCTTTTGCATCAGATCACGGATGTAAGTTCTAATGCTAGCTTTGTAATCAGAGTATGAAAGGGGCGGTGGGGTAGCCTAGTGGTTAAAGCGTTGGCTCGTCACGCCGAAGACCCAGGTTCGAATCCCCACATCGGTAAAATGTGTGAAGCCAATTTCTGGTGTCCCCGCCGTGATGTTACTGGAATATTGCTAAAAGCGGCGTAAAACCAAACTCAGTCAGTCAGTCAGTCAGAGTAAGAAATAAGAAGTGGTGTCACAGATTTGTTGAGTGCTGCCTTGGCAGCAAAATCGTGGCTGGGTAACCAACGAAAGACGATGTCGCATTGGCCAGTAGCAAGCTCATTATATAATTCAATAATTTCTATTAAAGTGGATGTTTACAAGAAAGATTTTAATAGCCTGAAGACACGAAATAGAATCGGAAAAGATTATGTTTTGTTTATATTTACAGTGTTTATTAATATATTAAAGAGCTGTTAGTATTGCGTTTGCTTCTGCTGTGAAAATTAAACTGTCATTGTGTAATCTGGAAGATATTGATTTGGACCCAATGACAGTGGCACAAGCTACTGCGCCACCGTCCTTGGACCCATCTGTAAATAAGGATTTACATGTATTATATTTAATTTTTAATTGTTTATATTCTTGTTTATATTGTAATTCGTTTCTGATTTTTAAAATGTAGTGAGTGGCCTCACTTACTGCCAAGAAGGAGAAGAAAGAAGACGGGAAGGAGATATATTTTCCAGCTCAATGCCGGCAGCAGTAATGGATGGTTTAATCCTGAGCCCAAGAGGTGGAACAAGAGAAGATTTCTTGTTGTACAAATCCTCATAAAGAGGTTTAAAGATACAGTGAAATTCAGGATTAGACTCGTTAGAATATAGTTTGGTAATATATTATAATGATAATTTTATACGGCGTTGTGCAAGAGAAGGCTCATCGGCCTCGACGTAGAGACTGTCAACAGGTGATGTTGTGAATGATCCAAGACAGTGTCTCAGACCTTGGTGGTGGACAGAATCTAATAGTTAAGTTGTTTTTGCAGGCTCCACCATATACGATGGAGCCATAATCAAGCTTCGAGCAGACCAATGATCTATAAAGGTGTAGGAGGGTAGTTTGGTCCCTCCCCCACTTTGAATTAGAAACGACTTTCAATAAATCGAGTGCCTTCAGGCATTTAGTTTTAGGGATTTGATATGCGGAAGAAAGGTTAAATGGGAGTCATAATTCCGACCTACGAACTTGGCCTCTTATACAACCTTGATGATGTATGCAATTAGTACAATTTAAAGCCGTTTTCAAGACACCATTTATTTATTTTATTTAAACACAACTATAGTTGCCGTTCAATAGTATGCATATTCTTACCGCGACAAGAAATGTTAAAATCATCCACAAAAAGTGATCCATCGATTGAATCACATAAAACCTTGGATAAACTGTTGATCTTGATACTAAACATTGTTACAGACAAAATACTGCCTTGTGGGACACGCTGATCCTGATTGTAATGGTCAGACAGGGTTGAACCCACTCGGACTTGAAATTGCCTGTCTGTTAAAAACTGTAATATAAAGAAGAGGTAAACGACCCCTTAAACCACAATCATGTAAATCCTTTAAAATGCCATGCTTCCAGGTGGTATCGTATGCTTTCTCGAGATCAAAGAATATTGATGCTTCATATTGTGTATTTACTATTGCATTTTTAACAAAGGATTTCAAACGTACCGAATGATCAATGGTACTACGATTTTTCCTTAAACCACATTGAATATTTGTTATAAGATTATTGGTTTCAAGATACCATGTTAATCTATTATTTACATTTCGTTCCATGGTTTTACAAACACAACTCGTTAAAGAGATAGGTCTATAATTAGACGGATCAGTATCATCCCGGCCAGGTTTTGGAAAAGGGACTACAATGGCATTACGCCACGAAGTTGGGAAATTCCCTGAAGTCCATATTGAATAAAATATTTAGAAGTGTTTCCAAACATGATTCCGGTAAATGCTTCAAGAGCTGATAGTGTATGTTATCAGCTCCTGATGCTGTATCATGAGCTTGCTCAAGGGCGGTATTTAGCTCTTGTAGTGAAAATAGTTCATTATAATCTTCACCATTGTCTGAGTTAAAATTTAATCTTTTCTTCTCCTGTTGTTTCTTAAACTTTTGAACCTCAGGGACATAATTAGATGAAGATGAATGCTTGGCGAGAGTTTCACCAAGTTTATTGGCATGTCAGATTTATTAGTTATAAATTATCACCATCCTTCAGATGGTGAACGGTAGACTTGGAACCTTTGCCCTTTATTCTTTGAATCATGTTCCACACCTTTGACATATGTGTGAGTGAATTTATTTTAGAAACATAATTTCGCCAAGACTGACGCTTATTTTTTTTAAAAGCTTGTCTAGCCTTGACATTAAAATTTTTACTTTGTCTAGATTATGTACGGTAGGATGTCGCCGAAAATACTTTTCTGCTTTCTTCCTACTCTTTCTGGCCTGTTTACATTCATTGGTGAACCATGGCTTACGAATGTGAGGAACTGCAGAGGACTTTGGTATAGTTTGGTCAGCAATGTTATTCAGTATATCAGAAAATAACTGTATAGGATCTTTGGTGTTCGCAAAAATGTCATGTTTTAATTGATCAGTACATAGTGTCTTGTATAATGACCAGTCAGCCCTGGCGAAGTTCCGTCGTGATAAAGGCGGATCATCACCAGGGTTGACTGTTTTGAGCACGGTGGGGAAGTGATCACTCCCGCATAGGTCATCATAATCCAACCATACAAATTCATTATACAAGGAGGAATTGGTGAGTGCCAGATCTAGGACAGAATATGTTCCGGTTGCTGGATGTAGATATGTGCTTGTGTCATCGTTAAATATTCAAAGATTATTGTCTGAAATATATTCCTCAAGAATTTTACCTTTAGTATTAGTATGGACACTTCCCCAAAGCGGGTTGTGTCTGTTCTGATCGACCATGATAATGCATGGCTTTGGAAGATGATCGTACAGATTCTGAAGATCTGATTTTCGAAGATTAGACGACGGAGGTATATACAAACTGAACAGAGTCAATGCAATGTGCAGAGTAAGACGAACAGCTATAGTTTGACGATTCGTCGCAAGTGGGACAGGGCTATGTATGACACCCTGCCGCACCAAAATGGAAGCACCTCCCGTTGCTTTATCTCCTGGAGGAGAGAAGGAGTGGTGATCACAGTATCGTGTTTGATTAAAAAAATCGGTATCTTTGAGATATGTCTCTTGAAGACATATTGCTGACGGTTGGAAATCTTGTAATAATAACTATCTCGTTGAAGTTATTTTTGATTCCTCTGCAATTCCATTGCATTATAGTGGACAATTGAGTCATGGCGCCTCAATAGGGGACCTTTCTCGGGAATGCGAGGAAGTGTAGCTCCTCCGCCTGTCCTGAGAGGACATTGTGACCTCCATGTCCAGAGGTCCAAATTGGTTCTCTATAGGAACCTGCAAAGGTAAAGGTACAATAGGAGGTTTGTCTTTGTTGATTTTCTTTCCTTTCTTCTTCTTAATTGTATCTATGTCTGGTTGTGAAGCTGACTTTTCTGGTGTTGTTTCGGTCTGAATGTCTGTTTGGGATCCAGACGTAGAGTGTGTAACTACCGGAGAAGATTCGTGAGCTGAAGCTGAAGCTGTAAGGGTAGGCTAGGTTGATTCTATCCAAGTCAAGTCAGTTTGACATGAAGTGGAAGACGTTGCAACTGGGCGACTGACCGCAGCGGCATAGCTGACATTTGACGGAGGTGAAGTTTCAGTTGTTGACAGTTTTTTTGCCTCAAGGTATGAAATATGTTTTTCACATTTTAGTTTCATAATTTGAGATTCTCGTTGAAAAACAGGGCAGGATCTTGATGTAGCAGGATGTGCACCATCACGGTTAGCACACTTGTAATTTTTTGTCACAGTCAGAGCCGTCAGGGTGATCACCACAACAGTGTTACGGCATGATTGTGATCCGTGTCCATATTGCTGACATTTGTAACACTGGAGTGGATTGGGGATATACACATCCACTCCGATGTTAAAATAACCTGCTTTAATCGTCTGCGGGAGAGATGAACGAGCAAACGTTAATTAATAGGTGTTTGTTTTTGTAATGTATCCTTCTTTTTTTAATTGTGAATCGTTTAACTCATTAAGGCCGAGAGACCCATATATGGGGCAAATTAATCAGCTCCTCACAGCGAGTGACGTGTTTATGGGGCAGGTAATTAGCAGTTTCTCACAGCAAGAGCCACATACAGTCGTCAACAGAAAGCACCTCTTATTCAGCGAGAGACGCACATGTGTGTTGTACTTTTAAAAATCGCACTGTACCTATTATTTCAACCAAATTAGCAGTACTGAGCAAATGTTAGCTTTTCTTACGAGAGATCCCACCTTTAGTATCAATCAGAAGAAGTATTTAAAGTGTTTTGATAACAATTGCTAATCATTATCATAGGCTTGTACAGCGTTTAGCAAATGAACGCCTGTCGGCGAGAAAGGGGATTATGATGTTTTTTACAGAGGTAAGTGCCTGGTACTCTTCCTTGGGAATGGATACTAAAATACTTCGTATGCACCTTGATTGAATTAGATGTAATGGTTTAGAGGTTACTAAAAAAATATATTTCCTTCAACTACCTAATAAATAGGAAACAATATACGAAATTTCAAGGACATACAAAGAATTCAAACACAATAGAATAGTTTGAATGTACTTTTTAGGCATCATTACGTTGTCATGTTTCATTTACTCAAACATAATGTATAAACACAAGTAATTATACATCCAAGCTCGAATAGATTAAACATAATTGAACTTACTAATTTGAAGTTTACTGAATTGTAACTAGTTGTTTTCCATAATCTAAAGTTCGTAATGTTACCTAAGCGATTCTAAAGTGGTAAGTCGCGCCTTTGCATCGAATACATATATACATGTCAGTGTTATTACAACAATGAAATGTTTTACTACGTTTGTTACAAAAGACAGTAAGTTGGTAATTCAAAACATTGTCACACATGGACAGAAGTAATATCATAAGTTATTACATGTAAGCCATACAAAGGTATTTCAAGCATTTTTGTTCAAGCTGTTGAAAGTTTCATGTTGATTTGAATTGTCAGTTTTCTATGCAATTTAAATGAGCATTCTGTAAAACGTTTGTATTTGATCTGTGTAATTATCAAATCCGGTGCAATTATCACGTGTATCAATCAACTCAGTCTCTATTGATCCATCGTCAATAAAAGCTGGATAGTATATCAGTTACGGTATCGATACACATGCGTATAATCATTCAAGCAGATTACAGTAATGAGATAATTGAACGCCTCTTTTTTTTTTTATTCATGACATATAATATACATTGCTGGTTATGAAAAAACATATAAACAAAATTATAAGCGTACAATCGCAAATCAAAAGTGCACTATTTTGTACTTTTTTTTCTTTTTTTTTCAGACGGGAGGAGTTTGAAAAGAGAAGGATAGCGGTATAGACACAGGGTGCAGAAAGGTTTTACTCACAAGGGAACAAAGAATTCCAGTTTCATCCTTTTCTCCGAAAATATGTTCTTCTAGTTTGATATGGTATTTTATGAAATATATAAGTTGGTTGATATTTAATTCCGTAAAGTCATATCTTGTTTTGTTAATATATTTCTTGATAATGATAAACAGATGGTTAATAAGGACAGGTGCCTCCGGGTCTCCCAGGAGGAAATGTTCAACATTTATACATATATTACAGCTAGTTTTGTATCGATACCACTCAACAAATGTTGAGAGAAGGTGTTTTGTTTTTTCACAGAAATAAAATAAATGTTCTGAAGTTTCTATTTCTTTGTTGCAGAGGGTACAGGCATTATCATCACTGATACCTATCTTAAACAAAAATGACTTAGTTGTAACTATTCGATGAATCAGTTTATACTGAAAATTCCTGGCTTTATTTTCTATGGTAATTTTATTTATCAGTGCAAAACAGTCACAAAGATAGTCATCTGCTAGAGTAATATTAAGTTTGGTTTCCCATTTCCGCTGAAGATTATAGAGAGAGCTTCCTTGACTTTCACATAGCTGAGTATATATGAATTTACAGTTAGCTGATTTGAGTATTTGTGTGTTTACTGATTCTATCTTTTGATTTGTGTCTCTGATGGCTTTGATCCAGTGTTTGGGTATATATTTAAAAAATCTGAAATAAAGGAGATATGTTTCTTTAAGGTTAAATTCTTCTTTCAGCGTATCATAGGACTTGAACTCACCGTTGTTCGAGACAATGTCTTTCATATATGTCATGCCTTTTTTTATCCATGAGACGAACAACCCAATATCAGTAACAGGTACAAAATTAAGAAGTGGCAAGCACATAAAATCTTCAACACTTTCACTAATTCTAGAATGGATACATGCATAGCATGAAACAACATCTTTCCAAAAATAGTTTTTAATATTTTTTGGAGTAGGATTGTATTTTTTCCACTTGAAAGCTGAATAGATTAATGTCACCAAAAGGTGATAATGTCTCAAATGCTAGGTGCTGCCACAACCCCTTTGATGTCAGTAATCTCCTTATCCATTTGATTTTCATGTACTTGCAGAATGATATAACATCGATCATTTTTAAGCCACCCTTACAGTAGTCGTTTATCAACATTTTCCTTTGGATTTTATCACGCTTCCCACCCGCAATAAACGTAAAAGTATAGTATTCAAACGTTTGAAAAAGAGTTTAGATGGATTAGGGAGGGCGATAAACAAGTGTGTAAAAAGGGGGATAATTTGAGTTTGAATTATCGTTATTCTGCCTATCAAAGTTAATTATCTATTTGACCACGAGAATAATATTTTTCTAATTTTTGAAAACTGCGGTTCGAAATTTAATGTAATCATTTCTTCTAAATTTGTTGAAAAAATGATTCCCAGTATTTTAAATGGTTCTTTGGACCAGCGAAGGGGTATATATCGTCAGAGTTGTTCATTTGTGTCTCGTTTGGACCCTATCCAGACAGCTATAGTTTTATCACAGTTTAGATTTAGACCAGATACTATTGCAAATGTTTTAATAATATGAATTAGCTCTGACAGTCCTCGTTCAGATCCATCTAAAGTGAAATTCATATCGTCTGCGTATTGGAAGATGAGATATTCTATATCTTTTACAGTAATACCATTGATATGCTTATTAGATATAATTGCAATAGCCAATAGAGATATGGCGCTACTGGGTCTCCTTGACGACATCCGCGTCCTAAGGAAAAGAAGTTCGACAGCGAACCCGAGATAATTGAGGCACTACAGCTATTACGCTGAAACAGTTTAATCCAATTTCTAAGTACCGGGCCAAAATTAAATACTTCCAGTGCCTTGTCAGTAAAGTCCCATTCGATAGTATCGAATGCCTTCTCAAAATCTATTGCAACTAAAAGAAATTGTTTAAGCCTGTTAGAGTTTCACTTATTATCTCAGGAAAGACTTCTTTCAGTCGTGAATCTATGGCCCCAGATGCAATTTTGAAATCTACATTTAGAAGAGTTATAGGTCGCCAATTTTTTAAGTATCGCCTATCACGAGAGTCTTTAGGCAAACACGTTATGATACCTTGTCGTTGAAAGTCTGACAACATTCCAGATTCGTATGCATATGTAATGGATCGCCAGAGAAATACACCTATGTCTTTCCAGAAAAAATTATAAAACTCTGCTGTGAAACCATCCGATCCAGGACTCTTTCGATTCTTCATACTATTTAAGGCTCGTGTACATTCATCTAGCGTAAGTGTATTTTCACAAAATTCGCGTTTATCATTTGATAATTTCTGGTCATAATTTTTCGTAAATACATCTAGGTAATCTTGCCAATCTTTTGCGTGTTTACTTGTGTATAAATTGCAATAATATTCTGAACATTCTCTCAATATGTCTTCCTTTTCCGTCAGAATTTCATTTTATGTTATTATTTCATTCATGTTCTTATTTATATAGTTTCTCTTTTCTAAATTCATAAAATATTCAGTATTCTTCTCTCCCTCTTCATACCATTTGGCCTTGCTCCTAAATATGATTCCTTTTATTTTTGCTGTCCTAATAGTTTCGAGTCTTTCTTTTTTTAAACACAATTTTGTATGATCATCACTACTTAATATTTGGGATCTAGCCTCCATTTCATAGAGTTCACGTTCCAGCGTCTTTTCTTCTTTTTCAGTTTGTTTTTTCATTTTAATTGAATATTCAGTTGTCTTAGTTCTTATCTTCATTTTTAATATTTCGAAAAATACTTGATCGTTTACTGATAATTCAATACCTTCTAAATTGTCGATGTTTCCGGTAATACAATATTCGGCCACTGTTTCCCGTATCGTTTGCTTGACTTGTGTTACATAATCATTGTCATACAATAAACATGGGTTGAACTTCCAGTAACCCTGTCCACGTTCTACTGGACTAAGGGAAAGCTCTAAGGAAATAATAAAATTAAATGAACGCCTCTTTCGACCTTGAAATAACAGCCTCCGGTAGAATGCATATGT